GCATCGCTTCTAGTAACAAGTGCCTTACTAGTAGTAACAAGAAGCTATTAGTTAATATAATTACACACATGTCACATGACAATCTCACTATCTTTCACCTCATCGCGGCTTGGCGAAGCCACCTCAACCTAGCAGAACTTGAGTGGCAAAAAGAAACCGTTTTGTTGAGGCAACCAATTTGTAGCAAATGTTGTAGCAAATGAAGGCAATACCCCTTTGTTCCTAGTAGCAAACCTTGTTACTAGTAGTAATGCCAGGAGCCCCGTTCGTAGCGTCCGATCGCTCCTAGTAGCTATGCCCTTTGCTCCGTTCGTAGCGAAGGCAATACATGCTGAACTCCGAACTTCCCCAGAATATCTTGATCGGACAAGCATGTTTGCGCCACAGGGGGCCAATCAACATGCTAGCCCCCAGCAGCACAGTCGCCGTGCCCCTCGAACAAAATGAAGCTTGTCGTCAGTTTATGCTGAGGCCCCTTGAACCTATCAACTGCAACCCGCCCTCATAAACAACAGCTTCAGCAGACCTGTTTTGGGGCGCACATTTTTTGTTGAAACTTGCACAAAGTGCAGGACTATTCCATGAGCAAACAGCTTTCCATGTTGCTTCCATGCAGACATGTTCAGACATCCCCAACATCTACAACTCTCTTTGAAAGCTCTCTCGCTATAAACCTCGCCCCAATCCTCAGTTCCTTTGCGATACCTTGCCTCAAGCTGTTCGGTGGCTGGGCCCAGTGGACGGGCATCCGTGGCTGCACGCCCAGCACATTTGGCCTTTGGAGCTCTTTCAGCTCGCTCCGCAGTAGAGGTGCGTACCTGGACCGTTTTGTTGCCGGGTCTCCCTCTTTTGGTGACTTGGATCTCCCTGGGCAAGGCCATCGCTAGGTGGGAGGCCACCGATAGTAGGTTGGAGGCCATCACTAGGGTGGAGGTGACTTGGATCTACCTGGACATCTCCATAACGTTATGCCGTTACGCCATTCCCTTGCACAAAGTTTCCTTCCTTGCACATCTTGAGACCGTGCCTGTGTGTCGTGCACCAGCTCAGCGCTTGGGGCCACATCAGAGTCATTCGCTTCAGGCTGCTCAATCGGACCTGGAACCGAACAACAAAGGCTGCGGAATCGCCTCATGGCTTGATGTGTATTTTAGATGTGGTTTTTTAAAGGTGTTCTTTGAGGCCCCACTCTGCGCCTTCGTCTTCTAGCTGAGCACCGCTTGCACCTGCACTTGTGACCTCCTCATCTGCAGCCCCCTAGACAGGGCCAAGCAAAAAATGCGTGCAATAACAATTTGGCGCTTTCATCTTGAACTTCAACACATGGATAGGACAAGCCCTTCCTCTGGCAATGAATCGCGCCTGGCACGAGCCCAAAACTACAAAAGAAGGATGCACTACAGTGACTACAGTGGGTGTCTTGGAACACTCAACGAAGGATGGAAAGGGACAACATGGGGGGCAACCAACCATGGTCGACCTGGGGATGTGTCTCCGAGTGCTGGTAGGTCTGAACCACGGGAATGAGCATGAAAACGGCATGGAAGAGACCATTTTTTCTTCGTTATTGGAAAGCGAACACCAGCGGCAAAAGCAAAAGCTAGCAAAAGCATAGCATTCTTCATAAGAAATGCCTACAGAAAGGCGGCCGGTGTCACATCATTCCACTGCCAGGGGCCCCCACTGCTTCAATTCCAAGAGCTGTGCAATGGTCTCGTCTTGTGCTAAGCTTTCCACCTGATCTTCCAGCTCTCCAGTATTTGGTGAAACCGGCTCACACTACATAATTGCACATGTGTTGCAACATCGTGGGCCCCCCTCTGGGCACTACCTGAGTATTCCACTGCCCGCCCTATGGTTCTTTCATGGAGCTCGGTCGTCTTGTGAATGGCCTGGCGTTTCAAAGTCTGTTACTAGAAGCGATGCACTGGTTTCTAATACCTTCTTGTTACTACTAGTAAGGCACTTGTTACTAGAAGCGATGCACTTGTTCCTAGTAGCTTCTTGTTACTACTAGTAAGGCACTTGTTACTAGAAGCGATGCACTTGTTCCTAGTAGCTTCTTGTTCCTGCACTTCACAGGATTGGCCTGCTCCTGAATGTGCTGCTCCCATTGGTCAAGTTTCGCCACATCGATGCCCCTCTCCTGAGACGAAAGAAGGGGCAACACAAGAGACCGGGGCCTGAATGCTTGCGAACAAAACCAACCTAGCACATTTGCTCCTACTAGCGATGGCCTCCATCCTAGCAGCGAATTGTTGGCCGGGTCTAGGTCTACGTCCTTGGCAAACTGTGTATTTGCAATGGTGGTCTTTGCATCCTGGCAAGACAAAGAACAATACGCCGCTCTCAGCAGACCTCGGGCCTCTTTGCCCAACTTTACAGCAGTAGCTAACAGTGAAACAAATTCACATGCAGAGAGTCGCAACAAATTTAAGGAGGAGCCTAATAGCTTCCAACCTAGAAGAGATGGCCTCCAACCTAAGAGCAATGGCCTCCAACCTAATAGCAATGGCCCAATTCCACACACCATCTGGCAGATAAAAGAGTTCTACCAAAGATTGGTCGGGGCATCACTACATACATATGTTATGACCCTGCGGCACCAACCTCCAGTCAAAAAGAATAGCACCCCACAACACATGCCAAAGTGAGGTTTAACCATCTCATGGAAACCATCGAGCAAACACAAACCCGCAAAGCCACAGCGCTCTACAACAAAACCTGTATAGAGGATTATAGAGGTAGAGGGACGGGACAAGTACCGCGTGCAATGTGCCGGCTTGCCACCTCCCGGGAGGGAACTATATAACATCTTCTGTCCACAAAGGTCTGACAAGGTTGCAAAATATCTCTACGAAAAAAGAAGCCAATAGCAATGGCCTCCAACCTACTAGCGATGGCCTCCAACCTAATAGCCATGGGCCATGGCCTCCAAAATGAGGTGTCAAGTGACCCCTTGCAACCCTTCCTCATGGGCGAGATTGGTTGGCCACATGGCTATCAGCTCAAGATTCTCTGCAGCAAAATGCAGGATCCCGACCCGATGCAGCTTCCATTGAGGCATGTCGGGCAAATAAAACGAGGAAACTCAATGGCTTGTTGCGTCTGAGCACGGCATTGCGGCATCAGATTGTCATCATTGGACAGTCATCCATCTTGGTAGCGGAACCCGGCCACATAGTAGAAACTGATCAGACACTTCCAGAGATTGAGATGGCCTTGAAGAATTGCTGCTTCCTCACTCCATCGCGAAAAGAACTGTGTCCTCAAAGGCGACTGGAAGCTTCACTGCCTTGCTGTTTATGGGCCGTGTATCGCGCTCTTCAGCTATGGCGGCAGCTTGGGAGCGGGATTTTACATGTTGGTGCAACTTGTGTTTGGACAATGCTATATGATGTTATATGCAAACCTCCGTGGCAATTTTGACCCAGCTGTGCTTTGTAGGGCGCTGCTCAGCCTGCCTTTGCTTTGCAGAGTTCGTGCCTCCCTCACTCATCTTGGATTCAATCTGCAAAGCATGCGCTCTTCGTGTTTTGGTGATTGCTGCTTCCACAAATGTTTCGTACAACGACCTGGCACGCACTAGCACACCCAGGATTTCACGCACTTGCGCGCAACACCTTTCTTCACCTTATCCGTCCTGGCCCTGAGGAACTTATAGTCGCGTCCAACCTGGGTCTACACTCAACCGGCGGGGCTGTCTTTCTCACAAGTATATAAATCTCCAAAACAACGGCAGGCCGCTGGACCGTGCAATCTTCGATCCCCGTTGGATCGTCCGCTAAGTCCGTTGAGCAGTGACAGCTCGTCAAAGCATAAATCATTCACCAACAACGCATCTGGTGCCAATCCTAATAATTCGGCATTTAACTCCCGGGGTGTTCCGCAACACCTTTGACACAACATTTGTGCGTTGCTTTCACTGGAAGGTCGGTTCGGACTTCCTCCTTGCTCGGCGACCGATTCTTTCGGCTTCGGCATCGACCGTCCGAAGAACCTGAACAACCGACATGATGGACTAGTGACTAGTGAGGAGCAAGGACGCTACTAGGGGCTCCTGGCATCGCTACTAGGAACAAGAAGCTACTAGGGGCTCCTGGCCTTACTACTAGGAGCAAGGACGCCACTTGGAACAAGAAGCTACTAGTTATTAGTTGGTGTCTGAAACACTGGGGTGCTCAACCGCAACACGACACATGAGCATAAGGACCACACTTGACCCCACAGGCCTTGTTGAATTGTTCAGTGAACTCGGCGAGGCCTTCCTTCAATCCCAGGTTTTCCACAAGATTTCCCCACATGGCGCCGTGACGCCCCCGCTGCCCGGTGATGTCCTTTCCCTAAGTGTCTTGTGAGTGACATGAGCGTTCTCCGTTATCGTTGCATGCTCCTGCATCGTTTGTCGGTCAATGTGCTTGTCGAAGCTGGGGTCAAGTGGACAAGATTCGGTTAGTCGAGTGAACTGTGGAGAGTTGCAAATTGAGCTGCGGGTTATGTTCATAGCTGCTTAAGCTTTTGAGAACCAGAATGATAACATATTGTCAACACATTGTCACATACTTCGTCGTCCTCCGCAAAACTCCTTCAGCTTACTTGACCAGTACTGCACACAATCCGTTACACTCCGACAAGCTGCCATAGCGTTTGCTTTCGCATCTGTTGCTCTTTTTTGACATCTTTGGCCAAGAGAATCACGAGAGGTCCATCTTTCACACTGGGGTGATGAAGTGGGACTTAAGTCCGGTTGGTTGCCACCTTGCCGTGCGCACAACAGAACAAACACCTCACAGAAACGTTGATGTGTATGGCACAGTGGAACACCACTTTGGAATGACATGACAAAGATTCTCAATTTGGCCTGCGAGTCCAAGGGCGCACACAGCGCGCAAAGAGTTCCGCAGAATATTCAGTGGCTGGCCATAGGTTGAAGACTTTTGCCTCGGCTAAGTACCATGTAGCCTAGTGCTTTGGGTTTCGGTTTCGCATACAAAACAAAAAAGTTGGAGGAAGTCTGTGAGACGGTATTTTTTGGACGCTGATCCTGCCTCGCAGGCTGGCTGTTTGTTGCCTTCACCTTCGATGAGTATTGATGTTCGATGCTCCGGGGGAGCTTCTTCAGAGATCTTGAAGAGATCAAGCCGGAACTCAAGCTGCAGTGACTGTGCCACAGTCATTGAAGCTTGCAGTTGCTGCAGCTCCCAAGAGATTGTGACAGAAGTGGAGTTTCTTGCAGTGATGGAGAGCATTCCCGGATTCTCCTCCAGCTTCGGTGACTTGATCTCAATTGGTGAAGTCTCTGGAGACCATTGCGAACGACGGCAACGTGACAAGAGCTGCACAGAGAAGACGCAGCTGGTGTCTTGCTTCAAATGGTCTTCCCCGACTTCCACGGTAAACTTCGCACTGGACACAGGACGCGGTGCCAAGAACTTCCAAGATCTCTCATCTCCTTGTTCGCCCTGTTCGCCTTGCACATCCCTGTAGCGAATCCTACAGAGAACCGCCTCACTGCCACCTTCGACCCGGAGCCGCACCCGCAGCCGTCCTGGCCCGGAAACACCCGGTGCGACGAGCTCTGCTGTGACTTTGGGCACGGCCACACGGGCCACGCAGACGTCGCTGCAAGGCCCCGGCGCTGCCGCAGCCTCACGACGCCAACGAAAACGTACCAGGTCAGAGGGCAGCTCACAGGCTGCGGCATAGTCGACTCCAAACAGCCGGATATGAATCATGCGGCAGCTTTGCCAGCCAAAGACCTGGAAAATGCTACCTACGAGACGCATCCATCTCTACGATTCTACCAGAAATGCTCTACAACATGCGAGGCTACAAGAAAAACACTTTGCCTGGTTGGCAAACCTAGCCATTCTACACGGCCCTGGCCAAAGCAAAAACCGAACAAGCAAACGGCCTGATGTACATTCTGCGTCTCCTCTCTCACTTCCAATTGCAGTGCTCCTGAAGGCCAAGAAAGCAGCACAGCACGCCCATGCCACCGCTGACTGCTAGATTCTAGCTCTTCGTCAGGGATCAGGACTTGCCTTAGATCAAGAGCAAAGGGCATCGCTACTAGGAGCAAGGACACTACTAGGGCACTACTAGTAACAACAAAGCTACTATGTTTTTTCTGTGTTTCTTTCCTTTGTTTGTTCTTTTTTGCCCGCTCCTCCCTCCTAGGAGCAAGAGGACCCTACTAGATGCAAAGGGTCGCTACTAGGAACAAAGGGTCTGAAGTTATCTGAAGCATTAGCCCAAGTCAAACGAGTTACAGTGGCAGCGGCAATGACCAATCAACAATGCAAGACCACTCCTCTGATAGACGGGATGGCCATTGAAAGTGTTTAGACCGTGCAACTTCTGTAAAACCCAGCGTCAACAAGCTTTCCCCTTCGCGCATGCCACCCAGAACAGGGAGTTGGGCACGTGCATAGAGAATGAACTGATACGCAGTGCCTGGATCAAATCCATTCACAGCAACTTCCAGCCTGTCCCGGAGAGAAGGCCCAGAAGGCCCTCGTGGGAGCTTGTCCGAGGGGCAACTTGTGCAACTGGTCATGGCAACAAGCCTTTCACGGCTTCTTTCGCAGCACTGTCCACCGGTTTGCGCACTGGATGACAAACTGGAAGTTTCACTAGTGGCAAGGCTGATGACAACTTCCAACGGCACAGCTCCCAGGCTGCAACAAAGCTGAGCCCAGTCGAGCTTTGCCTTGCAGTTCACGGGTGTTGTGGCTACAATTTCCCCGTCTTTGGACCAAATGTGAGGCAAAGAAGTCACCACAGCCGTCGAACGATTACCAAAGTCACCCCAGTCCGACCACAGCTGATCATCACCAATGCGCAAAGAGGCCACATATGCGAAATTGGCCTCAAAGGGTAAGGATAGGATTGGCAGCAGCACGGTCACGGGGCTCCTGCGATCCAAATAATGCAGTTCCGAAACGTCCATAGCTTCAGAGCAGAACCTCACCGGACGACTTGTCACTGCACTGCCACCAACTGGGTGGCCTTGGAATTTCACTTGGCAATGAGTTACCTTCTTCTCATCAAAAAGCTCCTGGGTCCACTCGCACAGTGGAACTTCAATGAAGAGTTCTGCATTCGACCATGTCAGTTTGGCCGTTACTTCTCCAGGAGCTTTGAAGCCTATGGTCATAGGAGCAGAGGCTTCGGACAGCCAGAGGCACTCTGGGAAAAAGACTCGGGCCACAGGATCCTCACATACCATCTGAGACAATCCAAAAGGAACAAAGAAAACATCGCAAATCAACATGAAATGGGCATGTTCTTTGCATTTCTGCCTTCAAGGCCATGCGGAGCTCCACTTGTTCAAAGTCCTGAAAGCCATCCAAATCTGAGGCCATCATCCATTCAGCCTGAAGCAAGCTCCGAGAGAGAGAGAGAGAGGTGTCTCAGAAGTTAAGATTGAACGATGTCATTTATAAGTTGAGTGTAATGCTCCTGTTGGTGATTGAACTCACTTGAAAAGTCATCACCCGCCTGAACCATCTCCGCCTCTGGCTCCTCACTGCTAGCCCAAGTCTGTCTATTTACTGTAATCTGTCCTTTCAACTGTGCTTGAGACTTGAAAAAAGGTTACACCCTAGCTGGCCCTACCTGTTCCATGAAAAAAGGACAGCTACTGGCGATATGTTAAAAACTTCAGCGGGTATGTCGCTTTGCCTGGGACAGGATGAGAGACCGTACAGCAGTCCATAGGCCGTTTACATGCCGCCACTGGAGTTCATAGACATAGAGATCCCCGGGGCCCTGTGCGAGAGAACAATCAAGAGCAATCCGGAAACAGCCAAGCCAGCATGTGCCTTCAGGGACATGCGCGGGTCTAGCAAGATCTGGGACTTCTGGAAAGATACATTCCTGACAGATAGGAAGCTGGAAGAAAACCATCAAAAAGGGAGCGACAAATAGAAAAAGGCCACACAATGTGTCTTCCAATCTGCTTCCGATGTGATGGGTCAGAGCCGCCTCAGAGCATCTCCACGCTCCAGCCCACGCATTCGCCGTGGAGGCATCAAGGGTCGCAGCATGTCACTGTTCCAACTTCCTCTCAGGACTTGAAGGTGACCTCCACTCTATAAGAACGTTTTGCAAGGTCCAACACGTTGCGAGTTGCAGGTGGGTTTACTCAATTCACTCCTGTTCGGAAGGTTGTGGAGATCTGGGCTTTGTCGTCCCTTCCCCCATCCACATACACGGTTGCAGAGTACCTCCGTTGATGTATCGATACATCTCAAAGGTCTCAAGGGAAGAGATGGCACGGGGCACTCAGTGTTGGGCATCAATTGGTTCAGCAGCACTTCGCATTGCTGAAGTCCCAAATGAGTCGAAACTGTACATCGTCTTGCTTCAAAGAATTCCTGCAAAGTGTGCTTTCTTCGATAGCTCGAAACACTAGGAGCAAGGACGCTACTAGGGGCTCCTGGCCTTACTACTAGTAAGAAGAAGACTACGAACAATGTTTGCTATTAGAAACAATGAGAGAACAGGACCCCCGACACCTCGGTTGCTTCGGCGCCAGGGGACAGCTTCAAGTGATACCCAATCGGCTGACCTAGCAGGGAGCTTGCAGAAAGCTTTGTACTAAGCTGACTAAGCTCCGCGAACAAAGAAAGACCCCCACCATGTGAAGCAAAACCTTCCCAAGAGAGCTTCATGGTGGTGCCCTTGGCGGTCTCAGTCACAATGGCACCGAACCCAGGCCCATAGCCATCGGGGACGAAGACGGCAGAACCTGGAGAACCTCAAATACAAGTGAAGTCATAAACTTGATATGCTCTTATTCCAAAACACGAGTACAAACCTAATAGCGATGGCCTCCAAACTAATTAATAGCGATGTGTAGCTGAACAAAGTCATTGAATGGCTTGCCGAAAGCATCAGACATGGTGTTCTCGAGGCCACGTGCAAATACTTGCGAAATGGCGAAATGTCGCCGGTCTCTGATTCCACGCGCTTGGATTGCTTGGGTCTTCCAAGGGTTCGCATGCCTCTGCATTTTATCTTTTGCGCCCTCCCCACCCCCTTCCCACACCACAAAATCTGCATAGAATCCCCGATTTCCTGTCCACGAAACCTGCCTTGGGACATCCTGGAGCCGCACTTGTGCTGGACTGCCAAGTGACTCAAGTGACCCAAGTGGCGAACGATCGCAATGAGATGAGTTCTTTGCATTTTAAGGCTCGTCCTTTCATTTTAGACTTCAATTGCTATTAGGTTGGAGGCAATAGCTATTTTATAGGTTGGAGCCCATTGCTATTGGTTGGAGGCCATCTCTATTAGGTTCATTTGGTTGGAGGCCATGGTTTTCAGAATTCCGTTTGTCTTTCGCTTTTGAGACTTCTGCCACGGCACTCGCATGCAGGCTTTCTGGCCTGGGACCTGGTCGAGGCCGCGCAGTAACCGTTGAGCATGGAGACCACTGAGACCAAAAGCCACCATCACAACCCAGGCGTACGCAGAAGCTGCGACCTGTCGGGACGACAGAAGAGAAACAAAGAGAAACGGATGGAACGAAGGGACGGGAAGGGGAAAAAAAGAAAGAAAGGAAGAAAGAAAGAGGCCAAAAGAAGTAAAGTACAAACTCTTTCTACGTGCGCTATCAAGCGCTAGTGCACACTCTGGCAGAATATTGACCCATTTGGACGTGTGGCCCAAGACACACTGGTTCTGCAGACATTGCAAGGCCCTGGTGTTTCTTCGTGCTACTAGTAACAAGAAGCTACTAGGGGCTCCTGGCATCGCTACTAGGAGCAAGGACGCGACTAGGGGCTCCTGGCCGTACTACTAGGAACAAGGTTCGCTACTAGTAACAAGTGCATCGCTTCTAGTAACAAGTGCCTTACTAGTAGTAACAAGAACGCTACTAGGGGCTCCTGGCCATACTACTATGAACAAGGTTCGCTTTCTTGCTATGCTTTACTCCACCCCTCTCGGTGCCATGCCTGACACCTTCGTTGGTCCCAGGACAGCTTTGACTTCCTCCTCCCTGACACGTCAAGGAGTCTCTCTGAAAAAGCCACAATGTGATTTCCTGTGCCTTCCAAGCACCTTCGGGTCCAAATTGGCAAAGTGGCCACTGGGCTCCTTGGGGCCAAAAAGAGTATAGTATAGGTTGGAGGCCATCGCAAGTAGGTTGGAGGCCATTGCTGTTAGGTTGGAGAGCTAATTAGGTTGGAGGCCATTGCTTCTGGGTAGCGGGGCAAAGCGGCCTTTAAAAGAGGTTGAGAGAAATATGTATTTTTCATAGGGTTCCTTGCTCCTAGTAGCGATGCCAGGAGCCCCTAGTAGCTTCCCGTTCCTAGCAGTACGGCCAGGAGCCCCTAGAAGCGTGGGTGTGGTATAGCAGACTTTCGAACCATTTACGGCGCAGGATGGCCCAGGCCTGGCACCGGATCTGGTAACAATCGGCGGCCTCAAAAGAAGCAAAAATCGGCAGCCTCACTTCTTCGTTCTCGTTCCCTCACCTCCCTGTTCGCGAAACACAACTCAACGCCATTGCTTGGCTGCAGCTCTGCTGATGTAATGGTGGGCACCTGCACACTGTACATCATGAGAAAACAAGAGATGAACGGACTGCAACCTACTAGCAATGGCCTCCAACCTGCAAGTGTTGGAGGCCATTGCAAGGAAAAACAAATGAAAAAACAACAACGCGGCACCTCCAAACCGGTCGAAAGCCAAGCTATCTCTCCAGGTATCCCGTGTGAAGTCCAACGGACCCATGCATCAGCCTCTTTCCCAAGCCTCGAATTCAAAATAGGAGAGAAAGCACTGTTATTAAAGGCTATCTAACATGGCCTGGAATGGCCTCCAACCTAATAGCACGTGTTTGACATAGAAAACACTCCGCCACAACTTTGCCAGCATTACTTCCAAAGCTCCAACCTGTATTGGAGCTTTACAACGTCAAAGGATGCGATGCCATCCATCGTGGTGAAGGACAGCTTTTCCCACCGCTGGCCTTCGGACGACAATCCCTGCTCCCTTAGATCTGAGAATGCCCCGCCATTGCGATACAGTGGAATCACAGGGGAAAAAAAGGGCGAGATCCGCACGGCAAACGTCGAGGCCAAGCAAGCTAAGCAAGTTTAAAGACTACTTAGGGAGTAAAGAAGCCTTTATTGTCAAGAATATGGAAGCAAGTTTGACCAGTTCAGAGGCCTGGAGCAGCCCACTCCAGCTCGACGTTCTTGTCCGGAAGAAGCACAGCACGCTTGGTGACCTTGATCTTACCAGAACACTTTCTGTGAGAACTTCAATCTCAAAATTTTGAACAAAGCAAGAATAGATTGCTCCTACAGAGAATTGTTCGAAGCTCTTACAACTTGGCCTGTACTATCCCAGCCCCTAGGCTCTTGCAAAACTTATGCCTTTTCTCACTTGGGGAAGCCGAAGTTGAGCTCCCGGACGTCTGGGTGGGGCAAGAGCTCGGGAGCGGAGAGCAGCGGCTCCAGGTCATGCCATGTGTGGAGGGTCTGGAAGCTCGTCATCAAGCCCTCTGACCAACCTCCGCCCCCAGCATATCGAGCTTCGACACGCACTGAATAAGTTTGACTGGGCCTGGGTTCTTCACGCGAGGCAAAAAGAAACAAACATGAGAATTGGACTGAATTGCATTTGATTTCTTCAGCGCGTGCATACAGCCTATATACTGGGGGGGGGCTCATCTACTAAACAGCAAACAACCTATGGGCCAATCTGAGGAACAAGCAAATCTGCTTCTTCTTAGCCAAGCTGGTAGGTTGGAGGCCGTTGCTAGTAGGGGGAGCGGGCAAATAAAAAAAAATATTTTCCTTTTCAGCCAAGCCTCTTCAAATCAGAAAGGGCCTGAACAAAGGCCTCTGCTCTACCAGCATCACCCTCCCACCAGCCTACCAATTCCCAGTCTTCACGTACACGATCATCGCATTTCAACAGCACCCGGTAGTCCAAAGAATAGCCCACTTCAGCCACAAATGCATGCCAAGTGAGACTCGCTTTACAAGGGTTGTGGTCATCCATGCAAACCTTCAAATCCTCTTCCTGCGGTCGTGGTGGCGAAATCTTCAGCTCTGTCGGCCCAGTGCTGTCGCTCCAATCACTCCAGGCACAACAGGACAGGCTCAAGTGCTGTCTGGTGGCCGAAGAATTAGGGAATTCGATGGAATTCCCCTTGTAGCGGAGAGATATTTCCACCGCACCACCCGTGGCGGGAGTCCAATCACCGATCAGTGGAGCGGAGCAGTAGCTACCCCACTCCAAAGCACTGGTCTTTTTGATGGGTCCCAGGGACCATGCGTTGGCATCTTCTGCATGGCACCAGCGCCAACGATATTGCCACAACAGGCTGCCCAAGCAAAGCAAGATCTTATTGCTTGCCTCTCTCACCGACCAATGAAGCACCAGTTTGTGAGATAGACCGTCACTGCCTGACCTCACCAGGCTACACATCACCACTGGCTTCTCAAGCCCTAACAGGATCGGCATCGACACTTGTCCCAGCCAGTTTGGAGGATCTTTTCTCACAGCCAAGCCCCACTTGACCCAATCCTTGGACTTGTAGAGGAGTCTGCACTGCTTCTGGCAAGCACCGCCAGGCTCCATTGGAACAACAACAGCTGCCAACAGAGCTGAGCAAACAGGTCCCCTCATGGAGTTCCTCCTGAAAGGTTTTAACGTTCTGCTCTTCAACCACAAAGCGGCACAAAAACTACATCGTATGTCACCGCAGTGCACATGCAAAATGGGGTTGAACCGGGTCCGGGTTTAATGAAAAGAATGTAACAACAAACGTATCTATCCCGGCACTTCCATGCCATTCCCAGGTTGTGTCCTCACAGGAACCGCCCAGCAAATGGCATTCACCCAACCATCGCTTTCAGACCGATCAGAGCAACCTGACGCACTTCGCTTGAGGCTGTTAAGAGCTTTCTCTCTTCCCTTGGCCTTGCGCAAACAATGGCACTGACTGAGCTAGGCCACGAAACAAGTCTGAAGACTTTAGATGCACTGAAAAGGACATGATTCACAAGCAAATTACATTTTTTACATGATTCACATTGCTTCATGTCACATTCCGCCTCACGAGGAGTCCGAGGGGTGCTTGCCTGGCTCGTCTTAGAAGATGAACGACCTACAGCGTTCGTCAGGTCAAGTGCATCAAAAGAGTTGAAGGTGGCCCGACTGGCAGCCGCAGCCTTGGGCTTCAGGTCACCTGAACAGGAATGATCATAAATCATAATCTTGAGAAGTGCAAGGCAGGCGGCAAGTTGACTTTTCGAATGAAGGGCCTTCTCGAACCTCCGTGAATTGCACATGGAAGGTTGACAACACTTCCTGATGGTCAACAAATCCGCGCGCAATTTGCAAATGGCTGAAGCCTACTCAACGCACAACTGCTACGCCAACCCTCCACCCTAAACCCTAGAATCCAACGTATAAAAGCAAAATTAAACGATATATACTATATGTACAATACGTAAATACATATATATGTTTTTTTAAATATGTATATACCAAAGAATGGTGAATGCCAACATGTTTGACATCTCTCCTGAGCGGCGATGCCAAAGAACTCCAAAAGAACCACTTCTTTCCGGCAGTCCTGCGCAGGGATGCAGAAAGCCTAATAGCTTCTTGTTACTAATAGCTTCTTGTTTCTAATAGCTTCTTGTTACTAGTAGTAAGGCACTTGTTACTACTAGCGTGGCACTTGTTACTAGTAGCTTCCTACCCCCCCCCCCGGATTTGAAGTATCAAGAATTTCTCTCTTGGTTTGTTTGTCTCCTCTGGTGTTGCGGCCTTGGCCAAAAAGAAGCATCGGTGCAACACCGATGCTAACGACGAGGAGTGAAAACATCAACAAAAGAAACTGTTTTAACCTATCGAAAAGCAAACGTCTGTTCACCATAGGTGTCACATGATATTCAATACTATTTCTCAGCACTACCTACTAGGTATCCACTACATCATGTCAAGATCTCAGCATCACACTGGACGTGCCCGCCACGCTACCTCTAAGTCCTCCTCGCTGGGTTCGTATGCCTGGAAGCTTGGGTGAGGCCGAAGCTTTGACCTAGGGATGCAAAGGAAGAACGACATTCGAAGGAGCTGACATTGAGATGTGATGAGATTGAATGTACATGACTCCTGGAACGTACCAGAAACAACTTGTCGATCGCACTAAGCACGACTTCTTGCTGATGCTTTTGTTGTGTTCGCTTCTTTTCCTGGTCGCTGTTCTGAGCCGGTCGCCCTGATGGAAGATCTCTAGGCGTATGGCTTGGGCCTGCTGAACAGACCGACAAGGGATCACATAAGTCACCACAAACGGCCCGCTCACAATCAGGCATTGCTTTCTATGTCAGTTTTCCAGAGCAAGGAATGTCAAGGAACAAAGCACGCGTGAATGAAGTTTAGGCTTGCGGAAAGGTGCCCACAAATGATTCGTCCACTTCAACAAGTATTGATGGGTGGGTGCAGGCTAAACTTGATTCTTTGAGAGAACAGAGGCAATTCCAAGGTCATCGCTGCATCGCTGCCGAATGTTTCTTGCACATTGGAATTGTGCATCTGCAGTAGACACATGTATGGGCCCCTGACAGACTTGCAGCAAACAAAAAAGCTGCAACAAGCTGCCTAGACACACTGCTGCTGCTTCTGCTGCTTCTTCTTCTTCTTCTTCTGCTAGTGCTACTACACGTCCTCGTGCAACAATGAGTCTAAGGGGCCCTCCTCATGGCGCATTTGCGGCCGTTGCCCATCTCACTATCGTTTCTCTCTTTTCTGCTCCTACCAGTGTCCCCTGCTGGGCTACTAGGGTGAAGGCCATCGCTACTATTCTGATCCTACCATTGTCCCTTGCTGGTTTGCAGCTTGCGACACTCGCTCCACTTTTTTCCGGGGATGCGAAAGCTTCAAGCACAATCTTCTCACATTACAGCACGTCGAGCCATTTGACTCATGCATGCCTGTGTCATTCATGTGCTGTGGCTTTGTCAGCGCCGGAAAGCACTTGGAAACCGATCGCATGGCATCGGCAAACGAACTTGGTTTTGAAATGTAACTCCAACAAACTATAAACCATTTCGTAACCTACACCACCAACACAAAACTCTAAGTGTCTGTTTCACTGACCTTTTTCATGATTTTCACCAGCTGCTCTGGAGGTTGTGCTCCAGAGAAGCCGAGTGGAGACCGGTTTGGCCCAGTTCCTCGAACGATGAAGAAGGGCACACCTCCTTGGACAACTTCTTGACCGGCTCGTACGAGTTCTAGGACGGTCTCCTCACCGGATCCTGATTCCAAATACTCCAAGACCTCATCTTTTGGAAGACCAAGTTTCTTGCTGGCAAGATCTGCCAATACTTTTTCGTTTGACAAGTTCGCACCCTCTTCATAGAGAGCTTCGAACAAGGCAGCCTTAGCAGTTGAGGAAGCTATTCCTCGTTCGCCGGCCAAGTGAATCAAGCAATGTGCCTTGAGTGTGTTGGGCCACCACTGCCAATCCTTGAAAGGAGCACCCACTTTGCGTCCTTGCTCTCTCAGAGACCAAGTCCATCCATCGCTTCCCCAGCGTCTCTTGTTGTATGCTAGGTATTCTTCGCCTCCAGCTGCAGTTCCAGGATCGATGATGTATGGTAGCCATGACACCTCCACGCGTTCTTTTCCAAACTCTTCTGTAGCAGCGTTCAGATTTTTCATTCCAACATAACACCAGGGTCAGGCCAAGTCACTGAACACTGAAACCTGAATCTTCGGACCAGCTTGCTGTGGTTTCTGTGCTTCTGATCTGCCTTGCCCGCGCCTTGCAACTGCCACCGTTCGAGGAGGAAGAAACACGGTAGGCAAGAGCCCGAGGCACAGGACGACAGATCTTGCGGCCCACTGGCTCCGAACCATTCAGCGTCTTGTCCCTAGTAGTAAGAATGCTCCTAGTAGCGATGCCAGGAGCCACTAATAGCGTCCTTGTCCCTGGTAGAAATGCCCTTTGCCCCTGGCAGCAAGAATGCTACTAGTAGTAATGCCAGGAGTTCCCCCAGTAGCGTCCTTGCTCCTAGTAGTAAGGCCAGGAGCCCCTAGTAGCTTGTTGTTTGGAGCCCCCTACTCTGAGCCAGAAGCGCCAAACTCCTGTGGTTTTGCCAATGCAAAACGACCAAACCCGAGCACCTCCCAACTTGCACCACCGTCTGCACGAGGAGACCACGCCTTGGACCTCTTTGCCGGAAGCCACTGCCGGAAGCCTCCTCCCACATGACACGTTTCCACATGCTCGTCATGAACAAAGAACAAGCATTCCAACCCAGCCTGTTTGCATCAAAGCCTTGGACGTCAAGCTGGGATGTTCATGAAATTCATGTTGCAAACAGCAACAACCCCCCAATCGAAATCTGTGTGGAAGTACTCACAGGAACAATGATGCAATAATAACTCCTCAACAGTCCAACTCCTCAACCCAATTGACTTGTCAGCCGTGTTCTGCACGTGCGTCGTTCGGTCTCTGAGGTCTTAACTCTTTGAGCGCACGGTTTGGGCGTCTCGTGCTTTGCCCCTCGTAGGTGGTGCAGAGAGCTCCCGCTCACGGACGAGTTGTGGCAGCGAGGCCATGGGCGTTGCTGGGGTTGCTCCTGGATGGAGCGAAATGGGATTGAACGTGTTTTTAAAGCCCACTCAGTCAGTGTCACTCTGCCCCCCCTGCTACTTGATCAAGCGGGCGCCTACTTCATGAAGTAAGGGCTATGTAAGCCACTAGCTGCTAGCTACTGGACACAGGATGGCTCACGCTTCTTCAACAAAGCTCCCCTGCCCCCCAGAAGCCTGAGCCCTAATGATTTGGTCCTGTCATCCTGTGGATTTATATACCCGCTGTGGCAACTGCCATCTGCACTTATGCACTTATTTTCGGTGATGTTGCTTGTCACCTCCAGCTCCCCACAAGTGGAAAGGCTGTGAGGAGCGGGACGGACCGTTCGCAAGTTGGTACAGGAAACTTAAGTTTCTTCATGTTCCTTTTTGCTGTCTTTCCAACCTAATAGCAATGGCCTCCAACCTTCTTCATTCTTTTTGCCATGATCCGATGTTTCGCCGGGGCAAGCGTGCGGCGGGCATCTGGCCTTTGACCCACGTACCTGGACCTGGAATCCTTCTTCTAGTTCCCTTCTCTTTCATCTTTCTTCATGAAACAAGCCTCCACGTCTTTGCGTTACTTGCAACTAAAGGTTTCGGATTAGCCAGTCCAAGACCTAATCAAAGCACAACAGCCTGGAGAGTGTTCAAGAACATTGTCAAACATCTGACAAGGCTGCTTCTGAAGGGTGCTGGTTCGGCTTCATTGCACCGCAAGTTAGGAACAAAAAGCCTTGCTTCTGAATACTTGTGACTTGTATTTTAATTAACTCGGCTTCTTACTGTACTGCTGCTGGCCTGATGCTCCCGCGTGCCCCCACTAAAATCAATTAAGAAAACTCTTTGAATGTTCCTGGAGGCAATTAAGGGCAAAACCAAACGGTACGCACCAAAAAAAAACGTGTTTGAAACAAATCCAGCTCTACCAAACAGTGTTGGCTTTAGGTTTTGCAATGTGATGCATCTTTGTCTGAAACCTTTCATTTCTTCTGTTAATTCTTTTGCTCTAAACTAAGGGCGTAGCAAGCCCAGCATTCTTCTCAAATTCGAAAAAACCCTCAGGAGTTCGAGCTGTGCGTACCACATGGGTATGAACAAACCCTTGGACAGGTGGCTTCGTACATTCTTGTACAGAATTGGTTCCTTACAGGGCGGCATTCGTTGCCACAACAGAAGGTGCAAACATCGTCTTGCTTTCAAAGTCTTCTGTCTTTACACAAATATCCTCCATCTTTGACGCCTTCTCCTTCACATGGATCTCAACTCTATTAAGACTGCCTCTGTCCCCAGTTGATTCATTTGGAAGGCAAGCCCCTTTTATTGAACATGTCACCCTCGACGATATTTTAAGCGCCCTCCGTCACACACGGTTTCCACCCGTAGTACATATGAAGTCTCGCATGGGCTGGTCAACATCTTGCAGAGTCTTGATGCGTTGTGCACGTTCACCCAAGCTTTGTAAGAGCCCACGGCGTGTTGCAAGGGATTTGGGAAAGGAAATGTAGGAAAGGAAGAGCAAGAAGCTACTAGGAGCAAAGGGCATCGCTACTAGGAGCAAGGGCACTACGAACGGGGCTCCTGGCATTACTACTAGGAACAAGGACGCTACTAGTAACAAATGCATCGCTACTAGGCAAGTACATGGCTACTAGGAGCAAGGACGCTACTAGCTCCTGGCCTTACTAGGAACAAGAAGCTATTAGGAACAAGTGCATCGCTACTAGTAACAAGTGCCACGCTAGTAGTAACAAGTGCCTTACTACTAGTAACAAGAACGCTACTAGGAACATGTTGCAATAGATTTTGCTTGGCGAAACCCCAAAAATGGTCCTCGGCTCCATGGCAGCTGAAAGGCACTGGATTCAGAATGCTCTTTGTCTGGCACACCGTGACGAAACCAAACAGCCTTTATTGGATAATACAGAGGGTCAGCATTACATAGAAACTCTAGGGATGGTGAAGTCCAAGAAAAAAGTATACACTTGAGTGACGTGAAGCAGCGACGGCTACAAAATGACAAAAAATGTGCTGAGGATTTGCCACACTAGTAGTAACAAGAAGCTACTAGAAACAAGTGCCACGCTAGTAGTAACAAGTGCCTTACTAG